TGTTCAGTCTGACGTCACTAGCCGTGTCTGGCCTAAACTCCGCTGCAGGTCCATATATCAAACGATCACTATGGCATTACTGAGAGTTGAAAAACTGTCTAAAGTCTTTCATCTTTAATAAAATGATCAGCGTTCTGCTCTACCAGGTGTAACAATTGAGTTTAACATCCAGGCATCCATGAAAACGGAATTTATGACATTTAACGGAGTTAGAAGTTAGCAGGGAGTTAGCTCGCTAGCTTCTATCTAAATACAATATAGCATGTCCTGACTGCGGGGTTTTGGAAACAAATTAAAACGTACAGCTCTGCTATCACTTCCAGCATAAATGAAGACAGAAAACTAAACAGCAGTGACGTTTGTAGGGTTACTGAAGTTGGGCTAGCTGGTATATAATGATGTGCTACGTGACCGCTAGCGACACAGCTATGTTAGCATAATATAAACAAGCTAACTTTTTTTCCACTCGATAAAAGTTAACGTGAGTGTTCTCGGTGGTCAGGAACAAATGTAATCGCATGGCAGGATGCTGTAAAAGGACCAAACTTCAGCCAGGAGAACAACTGAGATAATCCATCCACAATACGAGGTTAGTCATTCATATACTGCTGCATGGGCTGGGCTGTAGTTACATCCTAAGGTTTTAAAAACTGAGCTTAAATAAATGATTAGCGGTAATAAAAGCCGAGGGAGGTCAACAGGGATCACTGACTGTTTTAGGAGCTTTTTGAGATCAAATAGAAGAAAATACAAAACATTAAACATGTTAACAACACAAAAGCCATATTAAACGCAGACTACTTTAGACCCGGAAGTAGGATTCGTCACGTTATCACTTAACGACCGGATAGCATCGGGTTATGTTACACACTGTAATACAAAGTACTATTATTAATATGCAAACAGTTAACCAGACCTTCCCAAAGTGTGGGGCCCGCCCCCTAGGGGGGGCGCAGAGCCATTGCAGGGGGGGCGCGATGAAAGGGGAAAAAAAAACAAAACGCTTGGACACTGCTAGACGGGGCGCCCACACAAACGCAAAGCAGGAGATGAAGCATTGCTGAATATGTTTCCAAACCAACTTCATTCTAGCCAAAGACTAGAAAATATGGTGAAGCAAATCTTCCCTTTGGTTCACCTGCACAGGTGCCGAGGTAGGTCTCCCCTGCAGAATTGCTTTTCCCTTCGTCGGGAGCAGCGCTGGGCTGTTCAAATCACGGACAGTATCCCACATTCTTGATTCAATATTTTTCTTGTAAAACAAAGGGGGGCTCAGCAAAAAAAGTTTGGGAACCACCGAGTTAGACAATGGAGTGGGATTTGTTCATGTTCATGTGGAATATGCATGAGTTATAGGCGGACACGAATGATCCCTCCCCACTGGGTCACATTTCAGTGGCTGATAGGCCGCTTTTTGAAAATTACCTTTTTATGAGATTTTCTTTTATCCATGTTCTCCGTGGCTTTAGTTGGATTTGGGCTGTTCATCGGGATGCCATGACAGACGAAAGGAAAAGAAAAATGCTGTTAATGATGCCGTCTTTGAAACAAGACAAGTCAGAGAAGCACTGCATTAACAGACAGTTAGAGCTATGCTGTTATCAAGTGAAGGCTTGAGGGCATATTAGGATGATGTTAGACTCGTGTCCACGCCGAGATACGATTATTCTAGACAGACAACACTACAAAATGCCACCAATCAGACAAGCAGTGTCCCAGAGGAGCCTCCCACAGCCCTGAGCCTGCTTTTTTTTTTTGAGTTGTGACCTTTCCAACCTTCAGAGCAGGATGCCAAATGAAACTGAGCTGTAATTACTCCTCTCTTTTTTAAATTACAAATCCTCAGCATCTGAATGAGGCAGTTCGCCAGTTAAAGCAGGAGCCACTTGCTCAGGAAAATTAGTTCCCCGAGTCTTGTACCTGAGAAGGATAAGTTGATCCTTTATCAGTAATTCAGTCAGTGTGCCATGAAATAACATGAGGCTAGCTGTCACAGAAAGCCGTCTGCTCTGCTGCCAGTGCCGCTTTCAGGTGTCTATTCATCTCTCTGCTCTCATCAATTACACAAGCCAATGACAGATCACTCCACATTCATTTGTCTGCTCACATATGCATACTAATAAACGCATCAGATATCAAAGTAAATTAATTTATTCATATGAAGATGGAGTACCCACTGTACACAGTGAAATTAATGCATGCACTCAATGGCATCAGCCTGCGTGACAGCTCAGCCAGTACAGCAGTCTTCCAGTAACACTGTTTTCCCCCATTTAGCGGCACCCATACTGCCATATGGCTCAACTTATTCATTAACATTTTTTAATCCAAATTAATTTGTCTCCACATTCTACAACATGAAAGGCAAAGCTCCTGCGAAAAACAGCTTTGATCTGGTCCCTGTGTCGACGCTGAACAGATGTTGGACGTGCTTCAGTCAGGTCACATGCATATATCATCTGGGAGCTGCAATCAGGACACGGTGGCTCGGGGAGCTGATTTGATAATGGCCCCTCAGTCTCTCATGATGGAATAATGATAAAGTGTTCGCTAAACTGTGCCTGTCATATACATGTGTGTATATATAGCTTTCCAGCAGACACGCGCAACACTCACCTCTTCTTGATGTTATCTCCCCCAGCTCCTGCGCGTTCACTGTCACTCAGTCTTTTCAGTTTCGTCGCTTTGTGCTTGGCCTTCTCGTCTTCTTTAGCGTCCTTCTCCCGCCCCATCTTTCACACGTTCTTTGGCAGAGCACAGAGAACATTAAATAGCATACTTGCAACAAATAGACCAGGAAAAAAATGCTTTACAACATTTAGTCGTTCTGTAAAAACGTGGCCTTGAAGTTAATCAGTTAGCTAGCAAGCTTCAACAACGCCGGTGAACTTAAGAATACATTTGTTAGCTTACACGAATTTTCCCTTCAGAAACTAATAACAAGCCAGTAGAAGTTCGTACTATCAATAAACTTCCTCGGCACTTGTAGTTTTAGGAAATAACGGGTTGCTTTCCGTGTGCAGTAGGCTACAAACATTTTACGCGGTCTCAACAAACAGCGCTGAATCTCGCCTGGTTATTTCGCGTCACACCCAGCTGACTTCTGATTGGGTGACGAAGTTTGGTGACGCTACACCTGTGAACTCTCTTTACAGGGCAGCCTACCTTACCTGCTGGCAGAGGTGGGTAGAGGAGCCAAAAATTGTACTCATTAGTAGCACTACCTCAACATAGTTTTGCTCAAGTAAAAGTAGAAAATGGCTCAAGTAAGAGTAAAGAAGTATTTAGTAAAAAAGGGCTACTTGAGTACTGAGTAACTGATCATAATATCTGATTTAATGTTCAAAAATGAGACAATCAGACAGACAAAAATATAAAGTTTAGCCCAACTTCGCTACATATAAATAACATGATTACAAAATAATACATCTAAGCAGAAGAAACACTTTTCCAAATCAATTTTTGTTCAATATACACACACACACACACACACACACACACACACACATCACACACACACCAATTCAGATTAACAGAGTTGGGTAAAGTACTCCCAGTGACAATATATGGTGTTAATTGATTTGATCTCCAAATGGCACAACAGGCTCAGCAGATAGAATAGAATTAAATCAACAAACTTTATGTACAAACAACAAGTGTCGCTTTGACACAAACTGTAGGTTTGTGTCTGTGTCTCATTAATTTTTGGTTTAAACTTGTTTATCATTCATTCAGTGAAGTTACTCACACAGACTAGAGTAGCCAGCAATTTTTCTCAAGTAAGAGTAGCGATTTATAATAATATTACTCAAGTAAAAGTAAAAAGTAAAACTACTCCTAAAAGTAATTGTTTTACAAAAGGTTACTCAAGTAAATGTAACTGAGGAAAGGTAATTAGTTACTACCCACCTCTGCCTGCTGGTAACATGTAACTATGGTTTTTGCTGTAGCTAAAATAGTCACAAGTTTAAGTGTTTGCAACTTTGTACAAACTTTGAACTTGGTATTGCCCCCTGCCCTTTCTTGCATTAAGGTAGCTTTGTATCTTTTTTTGTTACTTAAAAGTCTTTGATAAGTGTTTTTGAAAAATGTTCCCATCCTGGAGTTAGAACATTGGGGTTCTTTGACATTACTTGATCTGACAACACTGGAAAGGATGGCACGAAGCATCAACGATCGAGATGATTAGAAAGTGATGAGTAACAGATGAATATGTAATATTTTAAAATGCTATATGCAAAGCCTTGTGACACTTGCCATGTGGCATGTTAATAATGAAATTCTTGGTGCTTTGCATTGAAAATAAAAGCATCCATGGTGCACTAAGCCTACCATATATTACTATGAACTGTATCTGAATAAACTACAAGAAAAAAGTTACACTCACTGAAGATTAAGCTTACTTAAACCTTAATGAGGCTGCACCTAATTAAGGTTTAAGTAAGTAAGGATCAAGCTACTTCACATTTAAATCTTCCAGTTTGGATGCCGTTTAACCTCTTGACACTTGGTTTTGTCACATGGTTGCAGCATCATTATATCTTAACTGTGAGTCTATTTTTCTATTCTGTCCAATCAATTTTCTTTGCTTTCTTAGCCCATCCTTTACTAACACAAGGATGTATTACTTTGTGCTAAACCCAGAAGCAAATAGCTAGAGTATATCATTTGTGTTTCCTGAACCTTTGTGGATATGATTTGAAAATATATATTTTTTTAAAAAACATGTTTTCAGCTTGAATGAAGGATACAATTACTGCAGGAAGACATGAATTGGCATTAAAATACTGTTGGAAAAAGCAATAATGGTATGTATCCACAGAAGTCGGTGAAAGCAGACAGCTGAAGGCTGTCGCTGCACTTTCTTGACAGAGCCACATATAGTCACAGCCAGGTGTTAGACACATACACACACACACACAATGTCAATAAAAATATTACATGATGGGGGCGAACCATTACCCACACAAACACAAATACCTCAAAACAGCACAGTTCATGTGAAATTATACATTAATATGTGGCAAACCCCTCAAACATATATGAACCTTCTCTTTATTCATTTAATTGAACCCAAATATTGAGAGTACTGGTTAATTCTATTTTAAATTTTTAAAAATTAGTAAAATAAATAAATACAAATAAATACATTTTTGTAGATTGAATTTGCTTAGGAATGTGTGATGGATAAAAGTAATTTTAAAATTAATCTTTTCACTTCTCAGTGGCTATACAACATGTGTTCTTTCCTGTGAATCCACTTAATTGCCAAGTCTTGGACTCAAAGCAGTAAAGCAGAATCAGCTGTAGAATTTTTTACATGGCGGGACAAAGGAGGGGCAAGAGGTCTAGGCAGGGTGGCACATGCCTCTTCAGTGAAATATGTGAAAATTCCCTATATGTAAATGGAGTCGACAAAATACCCACAAAAACACAGTAAAACTTTTTATGGTATCATTATGTCTTCTAAGAAAACAAGGATAGTTTTTTGACACAGAAATGTCATACTCCTCACCGGATAGATTTAAGGACTGTAGATATTGTTTCATTGTAAGGAATCTTGATTATTCTGGGAAAAAGTTGCTATTTAAGAAAAGCCCAAGCTTGTAACCTTGAGGTGCAGCACTTTTACAGAGATGTGAAAGAAATGAGTCACACTTTTTTTTAACACTTCTGGTGCTTTGCATGAGATCAAGGTCCAGCTGTCTGTCCTTGAGCTTTAATCTATGTTATTCCCTTAGGTCAAGACACCAAAGATGGAGAATGTTGAATCATCCAGCAGCATCAGGTAGGGTCAAAGTCCTGCTACCAGCACTGGATTACTGTTGAAATGCTGAGATAATAATCTCACTAAGCTTTGGTGTAACTGTGCCAGAGTTTTCCTTTTTTTTTTTCTTCTCCCTCCCGAGGTGATGAAAAATTACTTCTTGTGTTTTGATGTTCAGGGTCCCTGGACAGAAGCGTTCCCATTTTCTACAGTGTGTTATGTTGTCTTTCAGAAAATTAATTTTACTGTGCACTGACGACAAATATCTTTGGCTTGTCTGCAGTGAAATAAATGAGACTGCATAGTTTGAGTAGTTGGATGCTCAGCGGGGTGTTGCCAGGATGGCAGGCTGTGGCCGAAGGCCCGCTGCGTCAAATCTGTTTCACAGCAGTGTTTCCATAGAGTTGTTAATGGATTATTTCCCAGATGTGGATTTAGCCCAACCCAATGTTCTGAGTGACATTTCAAAGGAGATGTCATATGGAAAAACGTTTTGTGAAATTCTGGCTTTTAATGTTTCCGTTTAGGGTTTTTTTTCTCCCCCCACAAAGGCTCAGGTGGTAACTGTGCTAGTTGAGTGGGTTTCGTGCAGAGAGCAAAGTTAAGGCCTTGCAGCAGAGTTAGTGAAGAAACATAAGGCTATTAGAACCACAGACCGTAAATGTCAGTGCACACAGTGACCCAACCTCCTTTTTATAGCTTTTTATGGATTTTGCTCAGTAGTGCAGTATACCACAAAAATATAACCGTTTCTACTAGCGCGACGTTTTTTTCCTTTCATTGAGCAGTTGAACTGAACATCTTGACCTCGGTACTCTTACGTTTGCAAAGTTTGACTGAAAAGAGAACAGAACGACAGATAAAGCGTTTTCCTTTCATCGTCTTTTTCCAAAGTGAGCATATTACACGTTACATTAAAAATCCCTCACTTCCTCCATAAAGCCTTACACAGAGTGAACCTTCACTAACTAATCTATTCAGCTTGGCTGCATTTGGCTCAAATCCTTCTCTTCATACTGTGAAATAAACCGCTGACGTCTACTTCTGTCAGGATCATGACTTCATGTTAAGCGATGTTTCGGCTGTGAGCAGTTGGGAAAAAATCTTTGGGAATGATGTCTTGTTTTTATTTTTGTGATTTTAATATTGTTAAAATGTAGGAAAAGCTCATACATCATCTCTGCTTCAATGCCTGGCTTCCTTCTGACTCATAATAGCCAATCATTAAATTCACTAATTTTTAGTGCAACAATGAAAATGACTGTAGTGTCTGATTAAAGACGTGATGGACCATACAGGTCAGTAATGACATATAAAGGTGTCTTATTGTCTACAGCGTGTACAACAACTGAAACGTTACTGTAGAAATTAGCTTTGCAAATATGCCTAAAGTGTTCCAGTGATGTAGCTTCTGATTTGTCAAAGTAGCTACAATAACACAACTTATCATAGTAAGACTCACTAATACTGATGATGATAATTACTGGTTGTGTTCTGTTTCAGTGTTTCTGAAACTCACAACAGTGTGATAGGTTGTCAGGCACAGAGTCCACTTTTCTGTCACATGTTGAGAGCTGTGTGGATTCTCTCCAAGTACTCGGCATTCCCACAGTCCAAAGACGTTAGCTTGGGTTAATTGATTCTATATTTGTTTTATTCTGTGGGGTATACTGGTACTTATTTCTAATTGTATTGTAAAACAGATATCTTTGTTTTTCTGCCTGAGTTCATACAGTATTGGGTGCAGTGACCGGATGGAGTCATAGACCTGAGAACCCCAGGAAAGGCTCATTACCTTCAATCTGAAAGCATCATCAGGGTCCTGCTGTAGCAGAAAGAACATTATCCTGATAAATGCACAGTGAATAGTTGCTACTATAGTGCCTTGTAATTTGGATCAGTAAGCCAATTTGGCAATTATGTGCTACGCTGCTTTACATTTTCCACATTTTGTTCATTTCCAGAATGTTGTGGGAGGAAAAGGAGAAAACTAATTTTTATTAGCAGCAGTGACTGTAATTTGTTGATTTCTTAATTTGGGCCTTTTCTCTACCCATCAAATCTTCACTCTGCAGGGAAATCCAGGCTTGCACTTGTGTAATTACTCCTTTTTTTTCTCTCCTTTTTAAAATCTCTAAACGCTGTCATTATGTCATTATCATTACTGTCGATAATTTTACTCAATTACCACAATTATGCTTGATTTCTTATGGTCAGTGAGTCATCACGGTGTGCTTAAAGATTTTCTTTCTACGCCAAACAGGAGGGCAGCAGTGAAAAATAAGGCATCAAGCTTTTATTCTGCATGTTATTTTTTTTAAGTTGATACAAAACCATCTACTCAAGTGAGATTAAAAATGAATAAAATATAGAACACTTGATAAGAATTCAGAAATGTGTTAGTCTAAGTCTTAAAAAACTAAAATAAGGTCCGACTTGGGTCCAAAAAATAAAAATTAAAAATTGTGAATTAAATTTTGAAGGCTTGCTGTTAAGACTAGAGCTGCACTTTGGAATGAGTATTTTAATAATTATGCTAATATGTCAGCAGAAATGTGCAACTCTGATGCTACAGAGTGGATACATTTGTAGCTAAAACTGTTCATTTTGTCGTTCAGTGAATCTGTGAAACAGGAACTACAGGATGATGCTTTTACAGCAAAGAAGAAAGGAGTGAAAAGGAAAAGAATTAAAGATGACCCCAAAGAAGGCACCAGTGATTCTGCCAATTCACCCACGTAAGTCTGACCAGGTCTAGAAAAAATCCTTGTCATCGGCTTTTCTTCATGTAGGATCACTTTTACTGAAAGCTGCTGCAGAAAAATGTACCTTTCATGAGTAATTCACTTAGTTTTGTATGCAAGCCATTAGTTTCTTTCATTCCCATGTTGCCTGCAGCCTAAAGAAGAAGAAGCAGCGTCGTCTTGTCGAAGAAGGTGATGGAGTGGCTCAGACAAAGACGTCAAAGAAGAGAACACAAAAGGTAAACTTCTGTCTCCATCGGGGTAATCTTGCACTTACAAGTTCAGCACGAGAAACATGGTTCATGGTGAGTTTTTTTCTCTCTTCTGCACAGATGGTAAAGAAGGAGGAAGAAGAGCAGGCTGTGTCAAAAAAAAGTAAGAAGACAAAGGAGGAGATTGAAGAAGCAAGACAGCTGAAGATCAAAAAGAAGGAGGAGGAGGAGCAGAATCGCTGGAGATGGTTGTGGAGTGCTCTTTTCATCTGGACACTCTTCCCACCCACACATACAAACACAAAGTGCAATTTTAACTTTCACTGATGCGTCTGTACTTTTTTATCATCTTGGTTTTTGTCAGGTGGGAGGAAGAGAAGTATGAAGATGGGGTGAAATGGAAGTTCTTGGAACACAAAGGACCCTACTTTCCCCCTGAGTACCAGCCTTTACCTGACAATGTTCACTTCTACTATAATGGTCAGTTGAGTGTGTGATTGAAACAAGGGTGACGGGTACAGGAGCTCTACTTTTGTGTCTTACAGATACTGTTGAGACAGTGTTAAATGATTTTACAAGTTAGATGCACTTCAGTGTAGGCTTCTCTGCTTCTATACAGCGCAGTCAGACATTACCGACATCATTTACTGATACGTCTGCCTCATTCTAAAAGCCAGAATCAGCTCATGTACGAAAAGCATTGTGTGGGTCTCATTTATGGAGAGCGTTACAGTTGTCCTAGAAAAATTATGAATAAATAATTATACAAGAATTTCTTTTTATGCCAATAATTTACGTCACGGTTGTCTGTATTCCTAATCTAGGATTACCAGTTATGTATCAAATCAATAAAATGTAAGAGTGAGTTCAATTTTAGACAGAAAAAAGGTTCAGTGTCGATTCGAGAGGCTGTGATGGATAGTCTGTTAATAATGTTTCTTCAGAAGCTTTTAAAAAGGTTTATTAAACTTTCTTTAAGAAAGATTTTAGACTGATTATCAAACCTTCATGAGTGTCCTTCCAGAGCCAAGGCCAAAGCTCCATCCTCTTTAGTTTAAGTGCTGCTCTGGTCACGGCTTAGTTTTGTAGAAGAGCAGTCCTTTCCAAGAAACATCATCAGTTGCTGTTGGGAAAAAAATAATGAAATGTTACATTGCAGTTCTGAAAGGTATTCATGCAGTCCTGTGAAATTTTCGTTATGCAATACAAACAGATATTTAAACCCCTCACATTCACACACCCAGACTTCAGGCCTGCATCAAGATCACGTGTAGAAATGAACACGGCTCTCACACTGATACAAAAAAGGAATCCCTCCCTGCTCATGAATAACCTCCACTCCCTGTGATATCCATGTATGGCTTCCAGATATTCACAAAGTGCCGTTGTTTGCCCATGGCAATGTATGAATCTGTGATTTCCTTCTTCCAGAGTCCCATGGAGGCTGCATCCATACTTGTCCAGCATAGTGCAGTGGCTCCTCAGGCTCGAAGCAGTCCATAGTCCAGTGATTTAGTCTGCTTTATCAGTACACAGTTTAGCCTTTAAGGGGATTTTAACCTTAAACACTTCAGACAAACACTTGGTGACATCTTTCCAGAATTCCTGAATTTTAGGACATTCCCATAGACAATGGAGAAGAGTTCCTTTTTCTGTATTTCGTACAAATGTCCAGAATGTCATTGGACATATGATGGAGCCTGACTGGTGTTATATAGGTTCTTATGAGCCATTTATATTGCAGAAGTTTAAAGTGTGTGTGTGTTTGTTCAGGTTACTTTATAAAGTCGCTTCAGCTCATTGGGCATAAAGGTGCAGCCACACAGTTTCGCTCGGGATGAGGTCTGAGCTTGGACTGTAATTTTAAGACAATCTTGTGAACGCTAGCGTACACACATCCTGACTTTGTTTGCTCACACAGAAGACATAGCCGCACACTATTGGGCCTTTAGGATTCAAGA